AGCCCCGAGTTGAGTTTCTTTCCACGCCTTTCTTGCGCTTGAATGGACAAATACATACAAAAGTATACCCCTCTTGGCGAGTAACTTTGTAGCTTTATCAATGATTAATCTACTGTATATTTAATTTATACAGTGGAGTACAGATGCACCAGTCGACTGGCCATTTTTTTGTTTTATTTCAGACCATCTCTATTTTGTGCTTACACAAACTGCACTGCAATCATTTTCCAAAATGTTATTTGTGTGGAAATATTACATTATATTTAGTCTGTAAATGGCCGTTAACAGAGGCCAGCGATGCTGAAGATGAATGCAAAGAGGAGAAAATAGGCAGAGCAAGATCACTGTTCACAATGTGCGAAATATAGGACGAAAATCCTAAATAATGAATTTTATGAATGTGTTTCTGAGGGGAACTTACTATCTTTAGAAAAGGTTAGATGGTATTTTCTTTTCATCTTGCCTGTTATATTACAGTAGTGTTTAGGCCTATAAGAGCAGAGCTGCTGTGTTTACAGCAGTAACCAACCAAGGAAACAATGTATTGCTGCTGTTCCATAAGCGCTACCTGCTGGCAGAGAGTGAATGTGCGTCTCATTCAGCCCATCTGCTGTTTTTGTTTTGTGCAGATGTTTTATGTAGCATCATTTCACAAAGTTTAAGTCAGAACATTCTGTTTTTGCTTCATATTTTGAAATTATACAGTCTAATTTAATCTTTGTTTTTTTTTTTAATCTATACGTGATTCAAATGCAGTGGTTACCACTCATTTCAAATGGCTATGAAAAATCAAGGTGCAACACTGAGTGAAGAATATGCAATGTTATTTTACATGTGATTATTCCGTTTCTGTACTTGAACACTTACAAACATAAAAACCTAAAGCATAATTTCATTTGTATCTTTGTTCTAGTGTTGTCACGGTACCAAAATTTCAGTATTCGGTACCAATACCAGTGAAAATCCACGGTTCTCGGTACCAATTTCGGTACCAAAGCAAAACACAAAAACATGCTAATTGAACAACATTTTTATTAATAACGTTAAACAAAA